AGACTGGAGACAGCTTGAAGCTGGTCAAGTCACTAGCTGCAAAGGTCCTCCCCAAGAAAAAGTCCAAGAAAATGGTGAAAGTTGTCCAAGCCCAGGCTAAACTTCTTTCTATTGCAGAAGCTGAGCATGAGAAGAACCTGAAGCTGGTGGAAAAGGACAAACAATGGAGCGAAGCAAAGCTGAAAAAGAGAATCACTCCCTGCCCGATTATCAGCATCAGCATCAGCGGACGTTCAAAAGACGGTGGAACACCGGTCTCAATGCTCATCACCAGGGACAATCTTGATGCCATCACCGAGTACCCTTCCTACCTTAGCCGATATGGATACAGCGAATGGATGGAGATCAGACAAGCCATTTAGTGATCCAAGTTGAGACACAAGACAATTATCGAGGACACCATCAGCGAGCTCATAAAAAGGATGTCCAGGTATGTCGCGGTCCCTGACAGGCCATATCTGAAGAAAGGTGGGAAGAAGAAACTCAAGCTCTCTGATCCTAATGAAGGACCATTCCTAAGGAACGAACATAAAACAAAGTTCTCCTTAAATGAAGTCCTGAAGGCTCATCAGAGTGTAGACATTTCTATGATGAATAATGACTTGCCAGATAAGGGTCCCTTCACACCCAACTCTGTGCATTTTAAACCTGAGTTAGGAGTTATATTCCTTAACTATGAAGGTGAAGTCAGATTTCAGAGAATGTCAGAGCTACATCTATGTCCAATGGGTCATCTGGTTTACCTCTTGCTCTGGATAGATGATAGCATGCCTGAAAAAGTCGTAGATCTGAAGATACGAAGGGAATTCCTTCGTCGAAGAAACATTGATGAAGATGTATCTGGTTACATAGATCTTAGTGTTCTAGAATAGTTTCTCTTTGTAACAACAATCCACTTTTCCTTGTAACTTTTTGTACTATGTCTACTTTCAGTGATTATACTTATAGTCTGTAAGCACTAGACATGTACTGTAATACTTGTAATATTACCAATGATAATAAAATGAGTATTTCATGTACTTCATTGAAAAAGATCTCCGAAAAAAGTAATAGGGACACAAGTCTATGAGTTCCAGTGTTACTTTCTACATTCACTGACAATCTATAAGCCAGTTAATAAGCTTTCAGTTTCAGTCTCCACTTGTAATTTTCTCTTTAATATAACTTAAGGAAAATTTTCAAGCAAAGACTGACTCACTGAAAAAGATCCCAAAATAGTAAAAAGGGACATGTATTTTATGTGTAACTTTTCCTTACTATTATTTGTTAAGACAACTTTATGTATATTGTCTTGTTATCATCAAATAGGGGGAGATTGTTGATCCTCTCTCTCAGTAATTTGATGATAATCCATTTTCACTTATACGTTGTATTTATGTTTCTGTCTTTTCAATTCCAACGATCATCATTGAGCTTGTTCAGTGATCACTGAAGAACTTGTATTGTAATTTGATCAGAGACAGTGATACATTAAAAAGACAACACTCACATCAAAGAACCTTCAGCTAATATCGAAGACTGAAACTGAAGATTAGAGACTGGCGAGTACATGATCTGAAGCAGTACTCAGTGATTACAAGTCCGTCTACATATGTGTGAAGACTACTCAAGTCACAGCGAATGTTGAAGAGACCTTCAGGTCATTCCAGCATTCAGCGATCAAAGGAAGCTTGCCAAGCACGATTGTTGTTGTCTTGTCCTTATGCACACAAAGGACAAACCCATACCCTTATAAACGTTAGTACGGTACGAAACCGACTAGTCGACTCTATTGTCCACCAACTTTAGGTAAGGATGTCTGCCCATGAATAGTAATTTTCATACTATTCACTGTGGCAATGGACAAGCCTTCCTCTTAAGGCTTGATACGCACTCTAACCCTACCATATTGCATTAAATGTTCATTTAATGCACTGGGTATAAATAGAAGTGTTTCTTCTCCATGCAAGTGCGCGCAACTCACTCTCTAAACCTAATTCTTACTTTGAGCATTTTCTAGCTTAAATAAAGGATCTTCTCTTTACAGCATTTCTTTTCTCATTTGCTAAGAATTCGTGTGTAACCAAAGATTGTTCAGATATGTTTTCTTACCTTATCTTTCCGCAAACAATCTTGTAAAATTTGTATTGATCTTCTTTATCAATATAYATTTTAAATTTAGAAATATTGTGTTTGTATTCATCCCCCCTTCTACAAATTGTTTTACTAATCTTGTAGACCTTCAAGGGACCAACATAAATCTTAGATATTTTTAAATTTAATCATTCAAAATTTTTTATATTTCTATATTATATCACTCAGGTTTCTAATTTTTAATCTATACAATAATTAAATAAATTAATTAACATTATATTATTATTAATTAATTAAGTATTAAGAATATGTATGTTTTAGTTATCTATTTATGTACAAATGTATCACGATAAATTTCTAATTTTTAATCTGTACTATAATTATATAAATTAATTAACTTTATATCAATAATGAAAAATTGCAATATTTTAAAGACTTAAATTATTTATATAAAATTAATTATATTTTTCATGTTAAATAAATATATCCACGAATACAAGTACGCTCTATGTACACATTTAATCTATATTTATATGGGACAATCCATGTACCTGCATCTTGAAATCGACAATGTGTCCAATGGTGCGTAAATGTGGCATTGGTATTCTTCGGTTAATACCATCTTTATGCAATGGTTACCATTAACATGGACTTTTGCAATTGTCACGTGTTGAGATGATTACGACGGTTGTGTCATGAACGGGTAAGTACGTCACGTTGTCTGCCATATTGAGAACATGTAGTATGACATTGAACATTGAAGCGGTTAAAATGGTCATTTCAAGCATAGCAAATCTAATGCATAGCAGGTGCAACGACGCCCTTCTGTAAGAAATTCAACGCTTCGTAAATTTTTACGCATTCGTTGCCAATCACATAAGAGTAATACTCTTGAGCTCAGTTAGTTCAAGCATTAACTTTTTGCAGATATGTCTCATTCGTCTTCATGACTAGGGGTGTATATGATACAAGACAACTCACGAGCTACTCGAGATCGACTCGGTAAAAGCTCAGTCAAAGCTCGGTCAACACTCGACTCGAATAGGCTCAGCTCGAACTCGAGCTCGACTCGACCTTTTAACGAGTCGAGTCAAGCTACCCAATACTCGAATCGAAAAGCTCGTGAGAGACTCGATTATTTTATATATAAATAGTTTTAAAATATAATTAGTTTTTATGATAAAAATTTTAAAATATAAATAATAAAAATGTCTTAAATTTTTAGATATTTAAACAAAATTATGCATATTTTAGTTATAAAAATAATCAGTTATTTTTTATTAAAATCACAAATAAAAAATGACAAAGAAAAACTATAAAAAGGGTTGGTGAAATTGTCCCCACATCAGAGTGATGGTAAAGGAAGAGAGAAGAGATGTTATAAAAAGAGATCGGTAAATGAAATTTTTAATTTTGTCTTTTTTATGAAGAAGTTTGAAATTGATCCCTTTAGTTTTATAAATACTAAGAGGACACCTTTAATTTTAAAATTTATAGAGAAAGACCCTAAATTTTCATAAATTTCAATGGGTGAACTTTGTTCGAGCTTGATTCAAGTTCGAGTTCGAGCTTGATTCAAGTTCGAGTTCGAGCTTGATTCAAGTTCGAGTTCAAGCTTGATTTGAGTTGTGGTTCGAGCTTATTTCAATATTCATTTGAGCTCGAGTTCGAGCTTGATTTGAGCTCAGTTCGAGCTTGATTCGAGTTCGAGCTTGAGAAATAGTTATCGAGTTCGAGTCGAGCTTTAATTTTTACTACTTGCGAGTTTTTGAGTCGAGTTCGAGCTTGAAATTGGGTTTCAAGTTCGAGTCGAGTATAGTGATATTCGAGCTCGACTCGCATCATTTACACCCCTATTCATGACCACCCAGATAAGTAGATATCGCTCGGAATCCACAATTTTCATTGCCCAATACATCTTGTATTTTTGTTATATATGAATGAAATAAACTCGAGATTTGATCAAGATATGGATGTGGGTGGTGGATTATTGTTGGAAGTAGGAACTATGTCTCGTTGATTCTTGATGCCCCAAAGCTTTAGAGTTAATAAAGTTGGCATGTTAGAACAATTACGTTTATGAGTGTCTTCAATAATGTTTTTTTTTTCTAGAGTTTGGTTCTTTAGAGATGGACTTTCACAAGTGGTTTATAAACCGAGGGTTCACGGAAAAACGTTTTTTGATGTCATGATTATATCATTCAAATTTCGTTTTTTTATATAAAAAGAATCTTGAATATTTACATTTTATACGCTTATAAATATTTATTTAATTTATTTATCCCTTACTTTATCATATACCCTTATTATATTTATATCATTACAAACTTATAATTAAATTATAAAATATTCAATATTTGTCTCATTTTGATGTATTGACGAGACGATTATGATGATGTAACTTGTTAAAATGAAAAAAAAAAATTAACGTATTTTTGTTAATATACAATTATGTATGTTAATAAGAGTGTAAAACAAAAATAAAAAAGCAAAGGATGCACCATAAATTAAATAATTAACTATAAGGGTATAAAATATAAGTATTAAAAATATTTTTTCGTAATATATATGATATAATAATATAATTAAATAAAAAAACATTCAATATTGAGTTTATTTCGAAAGTATTGGCGAGATAATTATAATGATGTAACT